CAGTGTAAGTAAAATTATACCAGTGAAATGTTATATGGTAAATATTTTTCGCAATACATAAAAAATATGAAATATTTAGACATTGACACCCTGTCACGGCTCTTAGTCCTTTGTTCCTTTAAATTTGTGTTTGCCACACACATCTGAGCCGTACGGATTTTCGTTAATTTGTTATATGGTAAAATTCAAACAACTCTCATAAAATATTGTAGTTCCGAGACGCCGTCTTGTCCGACGATTACATAATTTTCAGGATAAATTTGACAAGAAAACTCTACCCGTGTAGATAAATATCTTGAAAAAGATATTAAAAATGGCCCTTTCCGTTAATGTCCGCTCCAAACTGTCAGAGTTACGGAATCATGCTTCTCAATTCTTCATGAGGAGAGAAACGGCGCCAACGGGAATCCACGAGAATATTTAGTTTTCCGGGAATTCGTACTTGAGCGCAACATCGTTATTTCACTGCCATGCACAGTCACGCGTAGTCCGACGCTCCGAGAGAATCTGCATATTATGCAAGCGTGTCGTCCGTTTCCGTTATTATCTCAGTGTGCGATATACTTTTGCGCGCGCGCGCGCGCGCTCGCGTTTAAACCTCTCAACTTATTAAACATCCGCGCTTATCGCGTATGAATAAAACATCGGTGAAAAGAAGAACCTCCTCGTGAGACATGCAGGTAAATTGAAAACAAAACGTACAAAAATCGCTTCTCCGCGCTACGCCCATTTAAAGGTGGTTTACACCCCGCTTCCCGGTTATTCGTATACGAAAGTGCGCGCGAATGAAATGTAGCGGGATTAACAGAACCAGTCATAATAGCAGACGCCTTCCATTTCTTCGCGAATCTTTTAAACGGCGAACAGCAACAGAAAATTGCGCCTTTAGTTTGCATAATCATTTTATATCGAGGAGACGACGGAAAAATGGAAAAGATTCGTTAGCAGTGGACGATGTTGTTAATTGATTGGCATTTTACGAGGGTTCAGCTTGTCAATGGACTTTCGGGCCTGTTAACTTTCATCTCTATCGCGTCGCGATCGTTTGGACCGTGCAAATTTAAGGCAACCTCGTGCAAAGCATTAATTTTGTGGCCCGCACTGTTACTCTCCTAATGTAAAACGCGTTATTTCGAAATGGAAATCGGGTTATCGTTATTCGACCGACTGAATCCCGCGGGCAATAGAATTGCCAGCAGGACGAGCAAGTTTACGAACTGTCAAGAGCAACGTCTGGAGCTCCATTTCGGCAAATCGTCGGCCGATGCAGGTGCGAGGGCCAAATCCGAAAGGCATGTACGCGAAGGGGTGCGCCTCCTTGGCTGATGGAAACTCCATGTTATCCCGCAACCATCTCTCGGGAATGTACTCCTGCCTTTGCGAAAACTGCGTGGATTCCTTCGCGATCAGAGAATGACAAGCGACGACATCGAACTAACGGCATAGAAGAGAACCATTGAGAACACGAGTTCATTGATGCGGCTTGTTTCGCGACGCCCGACAAACTTGCCAATTCTTTCTATAATTCAGAGCGAACGAATCCTCGCAACAATATCGTTGAAATACACCGATGGTCTTTGAATCAAGTAAACGAATGGAGATCATTTTTTGCAGACTAGATTTTGCAAATAGATACACGGAGAGAATTTTTTCTTAAAATTTATCCCGAAAATCACATGCAATCATGGGACAATATGGCATATTATGTGCGTTTGCAGATTACTTGAAAAGGGCCCCAAATCTGGGGCCGAAACGTCGTTTTTTTTTTAAATAAAAACATTGGCCAGTGTAGGTTGTTTAAAAATTACATTAATTTTATAGGAGTTTTTTGAAATTTTACCATACATTCTACTAGTAATTATACTTACATTAGTATGCATTTTACTAATAGAACGTACGGTAAAATTTCCATAAACCCTCACACTCCGAAATACCATATTGTCCTACAATTACGTGATTTTCAGGGTGAAATTTAAGAGAACATTCTCTCCGTGTACTAATATTTCCCTTATCATTTGGTTCGAGGAAATCTCTGATGGAATTTTAATTAAACGATTAATTATTAAATTTATTACAGCTACTAATTACGAAGTAAACAAGATAATATTCGATTAAATTCCGATTGAGAGAACATCGACTCCAAGTCCCCCCATAAACGGGGTTTGTCGAATCGGAGTGTATCGAACATCCTATATTTGTTTGCGATATTATTTTTAACTCCGGTTTCGAATTTTCCGTAAAACATTCTCCGTCTGCAGACGTATGCAATACCTCAACGAAATGGTATAAACATCATGGCAATTAATTAAACTCGCGTCATAATTAATCAATTATAGAAGGGAGAAAAACGACACGCACCCCTGCCGGTATTCTGTACCCTCCTATGGAAACATCCGTTTGCATAGTTCTCAGATTGGCAACAGCGATGGGGAACAATCGAAGGGATTCTTTGATGCAGGCCTTAGCGTATTTCGTCTGATTTAGGATGTCCTGCGTGACGGGCGATGTTTTGTCCGGCAACACGGACATTACTTCCTCCCGCAGTTTTTCCTGCTTCTCCGGATTATTCGCGATGTAGTACAACAAGCTGCCGGACACGTTGCCCGTCTGCAACAAATCGTTACTTGATCTTGCACGAACTTCGATACAATCGAATTCTTCCTCAAAGCGTCGTCGTTTGCTATTTCATTGTCGTTTCGCCCGTCGGAAAAGAGATTTTATTCGCAGAGGAACGAGCCGCTAAAGGGATTTTGAAGAATTAAAATATCGCACTTACCGTATCAACCCCAGCCGTTAGCATATCGAGCGCCATTACCTGTGCCGTTTGTTTGTCGATACGCAAAAGTTTCTGTAATATACTCTGGTCGCCCATTTCCGCGCTATTGTCCATTGTTTCGTACTTTATCTTAGCCTGCTCGATGTATTTATTGGAGATTCTAAAAGAGATTCGTAAATAAAATTGCGCGCGATGAGCCGCGTTTTGAAACTTGTTACGCGCAGGATGAATAATGCGCGCGAGCGAGGTGCGGAAATTAGCGGTGCCGTAAAAATAACAGAGCGACGTGAAAACGTGAAATTGTATTCTAAAGAAAAAGTAATTAACGTGGGACGCGATACATTATTGATAACTAACTTGGCGACACGAGAATGTCGTGGAAACATATCGAGGATTACGGTAATGACGATGCGAAGTAACAAGTTCGCGTATTCGCGTGGGAGTTTGCGAGTAATATGCTGACGTAGTAGTGTAACGAGTATAAGTTTCAATATTTACCCATTAAGCGTATCCAGCACGCGGAAGAACTTCTTGAGATTCGGCGTATTGTATACCTTCCACAGAGACAGCCGAATTTCCATGCGGTACATGAGATCGAACATCTCGTGCACGCAATTAATCATTATTTGCGGTTCCGAGTCGGCGGCGAGATTAGGCTTCAAGCACCCCAGCCGGCAATCCAGCGCGATCGAACATATTGCTGTTAATTAATAACGGTAAATGATCGTCACGTCGACCGGCGAGCCTTAATATATCGGCATGTGGAACGCGGTATTTTTAACTCGCAGCCGTATATCGCTTGTCACATCGTTGATAAATGCATTACGTATCCATTTGCGGGAATATACAGCGCCGCGGCGCATTGAATTTGGAGTGCGAGTTAATTTATCAGCGCTCCATTGTTACGGGCGGTAGACTTATATACGTATACGTTAGTCTAGGTGCTCCCGTTTTCGAAGGGAAGCGCGAAACATCGGCGGCGTAAATATCCCGCCGTACTTACACTCCAAGGCCCACTTTTGCAATTCGTTCTTGAAGTCGCCCGGCAGCTCCAGGGTCTCCGGGTCCCGCAGCGCCCGCATCTTCTCCACGAACTCGCCGGTCACCTCGCTGATCTGCGCTACGTGTGCCTTAACCGTTCGCGGTTGCATCATGTGTGGATTGACTTTTGACCGGAAGTCTTGCCACAATTTGCCCTGGCTAAAAGCAGGAGAGCGCCCTTTTCAGCGAGAGACGAGATGTTACATCGTACGCAATTTATGTAGGCTTCTGTGTTTGGTCTACGTGGTTCTCTGTATACTCGCTGGACTATCGACCGTACAGGACACAGGAGAGACCAGCGAGATAGGGATAGAGAGACGGAGAAAGAGAGAGAGAGAGAGGTATATGGAAGGAGAGAGTGCGTATGTATACATGTGTGCGAGTGAGAGAGTTGGGATGGGGAGGAGGGTTGCTTCGTCAGCTCGTGTTCCCATATTCTGACGAATTTTCGGGATATCGACGACCTTCGCGCTTGACCATATATCTAACGTACTGCGCCGAGAACGCCCACATTTATCCACGCTGAGATCTCGAAAGCCGTAATAGCTACGTTATTAATCTAACAATTTGGCACGATGTAACTCCACTCCGGGACTGGCCGCGACGCCGGTGAGATCCAGCGCGGATCGTTGAAGCGATCTGCGATAAGCTGAAGAATATTGCGATTCGTAAGCTGAAAAGACCGTTTAATGAAATCGTATTCCTCGCACTTTTTCCGCCCGTTTTCAGATATTTTTTTAATATCTTAATAATGGTCTGTGTGAGGATAAGAGCAAGCGCAGTGAAACTGGGGCGCTCTCTTCACACACACACACATGTACATACACTATCGCTCATAGGTATCTCGCTAGTCATGGAACTTGACAGTCTTCTTTACAAGTAATTCTACTTCGGGATGTTGGGATCGTACAATTTTAAGAATATTGTTAAGAAATCTTCATTGTCTTTGGGGGGGAATGAGAATTACGGAATATCGAGACGCGCAGTGTCTTGTAAAAGAGAGGCAGTCTTTTCTCTCCTGCTGATTACATTTCCGCCAAAATGTTCTACCGACCTTGTTGCGAGGCCGTACTGCCCATTGTAGATACTCTCCCTGTTCGTGCGATAATGATGTAGAGTCTCCATAGCAATCCTCACCGGCCACGCGCCTTCCACCCGATACATTTTCTCGCAAAACTCCGGTGAGAATAGAAAGATGGTCGATCTGCGGCCTCCTACCTTGTCCAACTTAACGATATCGCCGTACTGCTCATGCAGCATCCGCATTTGCGACACAGTGTCTAGGTTACTGTATTCACCTGCGTCGTTCACGCCAATCGGTAGTCGTCGTTTACACATGCGAGTTAAGAAACAGAGTAAATACACTATGTCGAGAAACAATCGGTATCGTTTAACGGATAAAGAAATGCTCTTCCGGGATACGAATTGACACTCCGTTAATTAAATTTCTCGTCATCTATTAATTGTATCGCGGTTATACGTGCCACTGATTGACATCAGATCTGACTTGAATATCGTACGTTTAAATTAAAACTCGGACAATGTGGAAAATCCGAATGTTTTGAACGCGCTTTGACGAGAGGGCTCTTACCTATATATGGTAGGAATCTGAACCAATTGCCAAGCAAAGGCAACGCTTTCGGGCCGGGAATATCTTTGGTCGGCCGCGAGTACTGCATCTCGTTGTCCGCATCTTTCGTTTCGTTATGTTCGATCGGATAAGCCACGACCGATTTGGCGCGACATTGCACCTTTGACGGCAAACGCGAGCCATTGATCTCGCGAATGAGAAATCTGGCATGTATCATACCGAACGCCTCTCGACTTTGTTCTGGAAAAAAGTATCCACAGCACTCGCCATAAGTTTATTCGTAGTAGTCGGCCGATAAGATCGATACTAGGCGAACAATCTCGCGGGATTATCGATTCAACGCGTTCAATATGTATGCGGTTGCGTTTCGCAATAATTTACGGCAACGAAACTGTGTTTATTCGGCAAATATATGACTCGGAATATTAGTTTAGACTAATGGAAAAATATCACGTACCTTGCGCGTGGAATTTAAGGCACGAATAAGACTGTCGAACTTCTCTGTACACGTCGTAGCCGTGAAAAATGAAGGACCAAGATCGGAATTTTGATCTCGAGTAAGAGATTAAAATACGCTGGACGAATTACTGTGGGGTGCATTACGCTACTTATTGTTAGTGAAGGGTTGATTCTTTGGCTGTGCCGCGTGTACAGAGGAAGGTCCTCTATTATGAGATAGCGGGGTGTCTGCTAAATTAATAGGCATCATTTGTTGGTTCCGCCATGAATTTATTGCCGTTGGAGTGAAATTTGTTTAGTGGAAGATTCATCGATAGATCGCGTAATCATTGCGAAAGACGATTTATGATTGAATGTGGATGTTGAAAACCTGCCATCTCGTATTAGAAGCCTATCTCGTAATAGCGGACTTTCCTCTACTTAAAATTGAAGCTGGCACCTTCTTTTCAAAACTCTTCTTTTCAAAAGTTTTATTAACGACTTCGTTCGCATCCGCAGCAGTTAAGCCAACGGCCCACGATGCGATTTTCCTTACTGGATTGCTTACGTGAGCCAATCAGGATTTAGCCTCGAGTCACCTGATCTAAAACTCTGCATCCTTATTGGTTCTCGTAAGCAATCCAGTAGGAAAAATGGTATCGTGTGCCGTTGGCTTTAGAAGTAGACATATTTCCATTTGTTCTGAATGGTACAAATTTAGCGCAAATGATATTGGCTTTGTTTTATTTCTTTTTTATTTTTGCTAACTTCATATTAATTGAACAAAAAAATTTTTTTTTAAATGGCACTGGGTACAAAATTATTTTTAGTGTATTTTTACAAAGTGATACAAAATAAGTATTAAATAATCCATTAGGTCA